ACTGTGGTGGGGTGATAAGTGGCATAGACATTCCATTTCTGGCACCAGACCACCTTGCCCCTAACTACAAAGGGTATTTCTCCATGGTTCTGCATGTGCTTATGGATTACTGTGAGCATTTCACAGACATCTGGCCTGGAAAGATGCATGACACCAGAACTTTGGCCTGTTCAGGAAGCTGTAAATGGGAACTTTCTTTCTAGACCCGAAGATCACAGTGGGGGAAGTGGAAATGTGATCGTTGGAGATCTTTCCTACCTCTTAATGCCTTGGCTCATGAAATTATATGCAGGGAACTTTGACAGCAGCAATAACAGTCTGAGCAGGTGCATGATGACTGTGCTTTTGGCCATTTGAAGGCCTTCTGGCAATATGTGTACAGGAAGCTGGACTTGGCTGATGAGAATATCCCTAAGATCATTGTTGTGCTGTACCCTCCATAATATTTGTGAAAGGAAGAGTGAAAGCTTTACTCGGGACTGGTCTGCTGAGGTTCAGTGCCTGGAAGTTAAGTTTGAATAGCCTGAGACCACAGTTATAAAAGGAGCATGGTGCAGGGCTGTAAGGGTCACGTATGTCTTGAAGCAGCAATCTGATGCTGAAAGTCAGTAAAACTGGTTGCGGTGTTTGGGAGTGCAGTGGCTGCATTGCTCGGGAGTTGCTCTCACATGTGTTGGACTTAGTGCTAAACTGACCTTAGCTTTTCTGGGGTATGCTTTCTTGCTTACTTTCGTTCTCTATTAAAAAAAAAAATTTCCTGAGGGATAACATAGTGTTGTCATCCCTGAAGTAACCTCCACCTGCCTCTGGGCCTTGCCCCCAGCCTGCCTTGCTCTGTGCAGCCTGACCACAGTGCTTGGGGGCCACACTGCACGTCTCTCCCTGAGTGAGCAACTCCGGTGTGTGCCGGTGACCTGGGCCAGCACACAGTCCCAGGAGTTCCGTCTCTGCATGCCCCCTGGAGCAGCGTCCATCTGCCTGTGGGGCCTGTCCCAAGCCTGCCGAGCCCACATGCTTGCCGTGCAGCTTGATTCTGTGCGACCTAGGCTCAGGCATGCGCTCCTGGGCCTGCTGTGAGTGGGGTAGGTCTTGCAAGGCTTCCTTAATCTCGTTCAGAAAGGCTGGGCTGGGGGCAGGCTGTGGCTGCTGCTGCGGTGGCTAGACTGTTGCCCAGCCTGGTGGTGCTCCTGGGAGGACGAGTACACAGCTCAACAAATTCATGGAAGGAACCAGGGGGTGTGTAGGGAGAGAGGAAGGGAGATAGGGTGTATGTGGGGATGGGTGGTGCAGTTAAGGGGGAATGGTAGGGATATAGGAATGGAGACAGGGGGAATGGGGAATGTGGTGGTGGGGAGTGGGTAGGGAAGGATGAGGGTGTAGTGCAGTATGGGGTGGGGCTGGGGAAGGGTTAGGGAGGAATGGAGTTAGTTGTAGGAATGGGTAGAGATGGAAGGAGAGGGATAGGCAATGTGGGGTGGGGAAGGATTAGGGAGGATGGTGAGTGCAGGAATGGAGACAGGAGGGGTCAAATTGAAGTATGGGGATAGGAGGGAGAGCTGGGTTGCCCTGGCTGGTGGCCGGGGCGAGGGACTGCCATGCCTCGGCCCAGTCCTCCCTGGTGGCTGGGAGGAGATCTCGGGCTACCTATCCTTAGAAACTGGGAGATTGGCAAGTGTAGCCAGCAGGAAACACATGAATTTCATTTATCAAACACAAACAAATAAATGTAGGACACCTGTGAAGAATGATACAAAAACATTTGCACTGAGAGAGACAGGGAGGGGAAGCATGGCTGGAGAATGTCACAGGTGTGTGTATATATGTCAACGATTTGTATGGAACCTTGCCATCTGATGAGCTGCAGAAGGGGGTCTGTAGTACATCAGGGCTAAGCTGCATGCAGATTGGCATTGAGTGTATCAGCAACCTATGGGAGTCTGCAAGGGTGGAGGTTGGGCAGGCAGGCATGGAGTGTGATGTCTGGTTCCCAGGTTCAGAGAGATACCCAAATTGAGTTGGCAGAGACAGAGGGGTGTATTGGAGAAAGTTTAGGAACACCAGCTGAAGAAGGGGCTGGTTGCACAGCTGCTCTGTTTGCAGGGCCTAGCAGGCTTCCAACATGTTTGCTTGCTGCTCTGTAATGCTTAGGAGTCACTGCATGCTCTCTTTTCACTCCCTCCTGTCACTGTCCTTCCACTCCTTCAATTCCTTGTGTTTGACATCAGTACGACTCAGAATGTCTTGCAAAAACTCCTCTCTAGTCTTTCTTGGGTGCTGTGCTGGAATTAAAGCTTCCTGAGACAGGCATTCCAAGGCCAGCTCTATCAAGGATAAAATTGCAAGATGTTGTGTTGCAGAAGGCCCATTGTTAAGATTAAAAAACAGCATTGCCCCAACCCCTTCGAAAGACTTGCACTCTCCACGTTAGGGATGTAAGTGACTAGTTGACTATCTGATAAGCAAAAGCTTATTGGATAGTCAACTAGTCCCTTGATTAGTTGCTTCCCCCCGCTTGCTGCCTAGCAAGGGCAGGGAGCAGGAGCTGGAGCTAGGGGGAGCTGGCTTAAAGGGTGGTAATGGAATCAGCTGACTCCTGCTCATGCACAGTCCCAGACGCTTCGCCTCTGCTTTTTAAATTTATTAAGAGTCTGCTCCTAGACTTTACCCAGAGGCCTGTCTGACCTTGAGGACTCCTCTTCCTCCCATGTATCAAGAGCCCTTGTGATATTGATGAGGCTGGGCTCCAGATTTCTAGGGGGCTTGATCCAGTGTTGTGGTCAATTAATACAGAGGGTAGGTGTCCCCCCGGATGCTTCCTTGAACATTTTATATATATGTGTGTATATATGTGATCATCACGTACAATTCAAATCAAATGCAAATTATTAAACCTCTACTAATGAAGGATGCTTCTCCCCAGCATTGTTCCTCATGTCAGGGACTTCCAAGTTCCCCCTGCAAGGCCTCTTGGCAGGTGGCATCTCCCTGCCCAGGATCCCCCTCGTTTTTCTCAGCTGCTTTCCACACTTGGCACTGGACTCCAGCTCCAGCTCCACTCTAAGCCCTGCTACTGTTCTGCCTCTGCTTAACTTTGCTCTCTGGGCTGCTTCTCTCTGGTCTTGGCTGCAGTGTTTCTGGTTCCAGCTTACCTTGAGCTCCTGTTTTCCCCTTAGCTCATCCCTGCTCTGGGTCAGGCAGCTCCAGTTCATGTGGATGACGGAACCCTGGTACAGGTTAGATATTCTTGGTCCAGCAGCTTTCGGACCTGACCGGTTCCAAATGAGGGAGTTTGCCAGATTAGGGAAGGTAAATTCTGTTCTTCAGCTGTTGGATTCTGGGTCTCCCAGGGTCCACCAGCAGACCTGGCAGAGTTCCCCTCCTGGCTGCAGAGCTCCTCTGCCCTCTGCTGCTAAGCTCTTGCCTCTGGTCCAGCACCGGGGCTGCTGGAGCTTCTACTGCCTCAGAGCTGACATCGCCCCAGGACCACTGGGTTCTTGCTGGACCAGCGAGGTTTAACCTGTACTGAGAAATGGCCAGCCAATACCTCCACTAAGTTCCAGTCAGGGGCCAACAGTCTTCTTACATTTGCAACATATCAAAAATGACTGCTTTAAACTTATTTGGCAGGGCGCATGCTTTTTTTACATTTATCTTAAGCCATAGTTAAAACTCTGTACATTTTCTAAATTTAGAAGAAGTCACAAGACTATTTTCCAAGAGACCAGGAAGAAAATTAACAATCCGAATGTAATTTTGGAAGCTCTGCCAGGAATATTCTAAAGTTAGAAAAACTATTGTCTACCTGCAGAACATTTTTGTACTGCTAGTCAAATGAGTACATGTGAGGATGGATTGCCTCTTTCCTGCACCTTGTAGTAGTCTTGTAAAACATCGTAAAAGCATGGTAAAGCCAGGACTCATCAGAACCTTTGCAGCCAAATACTTTGAACTGTGTGTGTATGTGTGTGTGGCTTTTAAAAAAAATTTGTATATGTGTTTATTTCACCTAAGCTCCTTATCTCTTTTTTTTAATTAGCATTTTCAGGTAGCATTCAAAGGAAATATACTATTGAGTCAAATCCACCAAAGAATAAATTATCCTGGAAATGTCAAACTGCTGTTATTGAGCAGCGTTGCCCACCCTGCATTGAAAATATGTTCTTAAGTACTTGTTAGGGGGCAAAGCCCCCTGCTCACTGAACTTGCCAACCTTCCTGTTGCGGGGGCGTAGGAACCCCGGTTCTCCCCCTCCCCAGCCACCGGGGAGGGATGGGCTGTGGCCACGCCAGCCCAGCGCCCCTTCTTCCTCTTCCTGCCACAACAGCCTGGCTCCCCTCCTCATCCCCTCTGCCAGCCAGGGCCCTCCCATCCCCCCACCGCAGTCTAACTGTAACTCCAGCAGCCAGGCAGCAGCGCGCAGCAGGCCCAGCTCCCGGGATTCTCCCCTCCTCCACGCCGCGAAGAGCTGGGCTTTCCTGCTGGGAGAGTCCCGCTGGGAGGGACCGGGCCTGAGCCACACTGAGCCCTAGGCCTGGCTTTCCCTCTGGCTGCTGGGAAGGGGAAGGCAGGGCTGGGGGTGTAAACAGCCCCAGCCCTCCATGTGGGCTCTGGGAAGGACTAGGCTGGGGGTGGGCGGGGCATGTTCCTGTGGGGTACAGAATGTCATGATGACATCACTCTGTCGTCCCACAGAAAAAACTTTTTATAGGTATAGTAAGATTTGTGTATATGTAGAGGAAAAAGTAATGCTGAATTACTAGGTTATAGATATTATTAACAAACAAGTAAAAATAATTAGGTTCAAGGGTATAATTAAAATTGCATTCATTACAGAAGTTCTTAAATTTTGCTCAAATAGGTATCTCAAACAGATATGGAATGGTCTTAATCTTCAAAACATACAAAAGGAAACTTCTCAAGCTTTTCTAATGGCTATCTGCTACATAAGCTTACACTTGAACCTGGACTGCAACAGAACTGTGCAATAGTTATCCTGTCTTTTATCTCTGTATCTAGAAATGGAGGAGGAGGATTTAAGTGAAAGAGGACTGACAATTGCTTCAATCATGAATCGAGTCAGAGACCTGAAAAATAAATATAAAAATGAAGACAATGTTACTGATGAGCTTAATTCTACTAAAATCTCAGCTGATACAACAGGTATGTTTTTATGTTAATCTGTATTTTCCTGTTTCTTCAATAGATGCAAAAGCCAGTTAGCCTGAGAAATATTAAACAAAGTTATTCATTTCAGTATTTTATTTTTGCAATCTTTTTAAAACTCAGGAGATGTCCAAAACAAGTAAAAAAATTTCAGCTCCTTTTGATAATGCTGATTGAGAGCCTTTCCTTCAGTATCTGCATTTGTTTGTAGACTACTCATATTTAGAAATTTCTTTGACTTTTGGGTGTTAGTGTGAGTGAGAGTGAGAGTGAGAGAACTTTATAACCTTTTTTTGGGTGTGTGTGTGGGGGGGGGGGTGTGTGTGTGTGTACTAACTTTATAAGCATAAATCTAAGAAGGTATTTAGTTGTTGTTGCTCTTTTTTAGATAACTCTGGCACTGTTAATCAAATTATGATGACTGCAAATAATCCAGAAGACTGGCTGAGTTTCTTGCTTAAATTGGAAAAAAAGGGTACATCTCCAACCGATATTAGTCTGTTGAATAGATTGATTGGCCGTTACAGTCAAGCAGTTGCTGCACTACCTGCAGAAAAACACAGCCAAAATGAGAATTATGCCCGGATCCTAGTGAGATTCGCTGAGTTGAAAGCGTAAGTATTATCTACTGTATATTTTAGAGAATTTGTCTATTTGATCAAGAACTCTTCCTAAATGGTAAGAGCGAGGACCACCAAATTTGGTATACAGCTTCCTCTTAACGTAACTTAAAGCGACATAAGGGCTTGGTTGTGCCTAGAATGAGATTGCTTCTTATAAAATCAAACCCAGAAGATGGAATCACCAAATCAAGTTCAGATCTCAAAATTGGCATAAATAAGTGAATGCTGAAAGAGAGTAAACCAAGATGAGCTAGAAAAATAGGATTAACCTGGAATAGGATTTATTCTCAATAAAACTTACAGAAAAGAGAAAACAGAGAAATTTGCAATGGGGATTTGTTTTGGCACAGCTAAATAGATATAAATAAGATTTTATAGGGCTAAAGAAAAATAAACTTGAGTTTCCATTTTAAACAAATTACTAACATTAACTTAATTAAAATAAACTTTTTCCCCCCAAAATATAATCATTTCAATAAAGCATGTACATTTTTCCTTTTATTTCCTTCCCCAAAATTAGTTAAGGACTCTTGCAATTTCAGATAAATCTGCTAGTTTCCTATTTAAAAACTCCAAAACAGGATTTATGAATTTTCTAATAGCAACATAGACACAGAGCAAAAGTCTGTCTTGCTTTTAGGGCAGTGAAATCCTCACATTACCTTAGCAACATAGACACAGAGCAAAAGTCTCTTGCTTTTAGGGCAGTGAAATCTTCACATTACCATCTACATACAAGTTAAGTAGCATGAATGTTATCTAGGACCATTAGTCACTTGTCTTGCACAAGCAGTAAACTATCTCATGTAAGCCCATTTACAGTGAAGTGGGATGGATTGATTTTTAAATCAAAGCAATTGATCTAAATCACTTTTAAATCTCCAAGAAAAAAATGTTGATTTTATATCAAGTTTCCAACTGGCACTTCACATATTTCTTAAATAATGGTGGAAATCTGATCACTAAAACATTAACTTACAATTTAGTACATCATTTTTTAATATCTGAAGGGTATTCTTTGTGTAATTTTTGTAGATAACTTGATTTTCATTAATTCAGGAAATATTACATAATGCTCGTTACCTTTGTCAGGTTGCAGATGCAGCAGTAGTACATTAGGAATGGTAAGAACTAAATCACACGCACGAATACAATAGCACACATTTTATTGAACTAAATATTAAATGTTATATAAATTTTTGCTGCAGTTGCAAACGTAAGTCTCCTGAGTTGCTTGTTGAAGGCCTTAAACACTTTTAAAAACATTTTCAAGCTTTATTAACTCTGAGAGATCCTCAGAATATTAAATATACGGTGCCCTTAAAACGTCTACAACTAGCTCTCATTTTCTCCACTCCCACTGTCATTTTGATTCATAGACTGAAATAGAAATACAAGTTTTCAACTCCCAATTATTTCTTAAATTTGTGTGAATAATACGAAATGATGAAACTGTTCTCTCTGTGCCTGCAGAGGAAGCTTCTGTTGTGAAAAGTTGGCTTAGCAACTGAAAGAATTCTGTTTCAAGGTGCCTGGCTAATGATTCCCAGCAATTCATGGGAGTGTCTTTATTCAAAACATCATCAGTAAACATGTACTCATTATATGGTTTCACTCCAGCCCTGAAATTTATTATGCCTACTATAACTAAGGAGTGATTTTTGAGATGACCATACCATGCCATGGCAGCAGCAGCATCTTCAGAAGTTAGGCATCTACCTTTATATCTGGGGCTAAAGATGTTCATAAGACAAGGAATTGTAGATAATGATTGATCTATTCACTTCTTTATTGCCTGTAATTTAACTTTCTGATGAGGTATTTCTTTTGCCAATGTCTTGAAGTGCCTTCCATATTTTGACAGCATCAACAATGCTGCAGCAATTTCTCTGAAGTTTAAGGCTGCGGCTAATAGGTTTTAGTATACTGAGCATTCCTCTGCATTCCTCTTTAGTCCAGTGTTGGATACTTTAGATGAGATACTTGAATCTATTTAATCATGGTTTTCTTAATAAAGTTTGAGGATAGGCTAATTCTTAATAAATACAAGACAGTCAACCACAGAATTCCATTAAATATTTTGAGGGGGAATTGGTTTGGATCCTCCTCCTCTCCTCAGTGACTCTGAAGCAAAACTGGTGTTTCGGAAGTATTTTGTGACTTCAAGAAAAAACATACATACATCTTTGGTTAGAACCGTGGTCACCAACTGGTCGATCGCGAGGGCTTGACCAGTCGATTGTGAGATGTTCGGGGGGGCCCCCCCTCCGATTCCCCCCACCCCCAAGAAGCCCCACTACCTACCTCCAGCGATAATGGAGGGTGCCAGTTTCCTGCGGGGTGGACGGAAGTCCGGCAGCTGCGTGCCACTTCTGGGGGTTCCGGAAGTGCCCTGGCTGCTCCCCTCCCCCAGGCCTGTGGTGTGGTGTGCTGGGAACTTGCAGGGAGTCCCCAGAGGAAGCGCGTGCTGGGGCTTTAACCCCCTCTGTGGGAGGCGGGGTGAGTCGTCCCGGGAGGAGGCACGCGCCGTGGCTTTCCCTCCTCTGCAGTGAGCGGGGAGTCGTTCCTGGAGGAGGCTCACGCCAGGGCTTTAACCTCCTCTGTGGGGGAGGGGGAGAGGAGCAGTGAGTCGTTCCCGGAGGAGTCCTGGCAGGAGGTGGGGGTGGGGGGGACTCCCAGCAACATGCA